GGAATACTTTGGTCCAGGCTCTTCCAGCTTTCATAGTTTGTACTAAAAATTATCAGCTGTAATCCTGATGGGTTTTCCTTTATATGTGACTTGTTTTTCTTTTGCAGCTTTCAGTATTGTCTCTGTTCTGAACATTTAGTGTTTTTACTATGATGTACCATGTAGAGTTTCTTTTCCGGTCCTGTCTATTTGGTATTGTATATGCTCCTGTATTTGTATGGGCATGTCTTTTTTTAATTTTTGGAAATTTTCTTCTACAATCCTGTTGAAGATCTGTTCCATACCATTATTTTAAGATTCTTCTCCTTCCTGTGTGCCTGTGATTCATAAGTTTGGTTTTTTTTATGGTGTCACATAATTCTTGCATATTTCCATTCTTGTGTTTTCTTAAATCTTTCATAGTCTTTGCTTGAGTGGACTAATTCGTCCAGTTTATCTTCCAGTCTTTATAGTCTGTTTTCCATTTCATTCATCCTATTGGTGAGGCTTTCTCCTGTTGTTTCTAATTGGCTTACTGAGTGTTTCACTTCCTTCTTCATTTCAGCCTTGAGTATTCTTCAATATTTCTAGTTCTTTTCTGAATTAATTCAGAAGTTTATCCCTATCTTCTTTCAGTTCTTTGATTTCTTTGTTCTTTAAATTCACTGAATTCTTTTATCATATTTATAGTTGTTTTTTTTTTTTTTAGTTCCATGTCCTGTGTAATCTCTAGGGAGTTCTCACTCTACTCCTCTAGAGGACTGTTAGTACTTGGTTAGGATATATTATTTTGGTTTTTCATGTTATTTTTTCTCTGTGACTTGGACATGTGAATTTCCTTTGTAGTTTCTGATTCTTGAAATCTGAATTCTTCTGATTCAGCAAAGCCTTCCTTTGTTAAGTTTAGATCTGCTTCTTTTTGTAAACTTTATGTGCCTTTGTGATTTACTTGTTGGGCGTGAAAAGCTGGTTGGTCTAGGCTTCAGGTTTTCTCTTTTGATTTTATATTGGAATGGCGTAATTGCTTTTGTCTTCAGGAGTTCCCACAGAGGCCCAAGTGAGATGAGGCTCAGATGCTCTCAGGCTTTCTCCTAAGGTCCAGGTCCCTCCAGGAAAGATGCTGCCCTCAGGAATTTGGGGGCTGGGCTGGCCTGGGAGACGGGCCCAGGATAGATGCTGGTCTCAGGAAGCTGGTGGCTGTGCCACCCAGGGAAGTAAAGGGAGGTAAGGGTGGGACCAGACCCAGAGGCTTCCTGGGGGCCGCAAGGAGGAACTGGGTTGGTCATGATGCAAAGGATCAGGAAGCAGTAGTGGCGCTGGGCGGAGAGGTTAGCTGGGTGTCTGGGGTGCCAAGACAAGAAATGGGCCTTGTGCTGGATAGCTTTAGTGTCAACTTGACACACCTGGGTTGAGGGAGCTTCAATTGGGGAATTTCCTCTATTGGACTGGCCTGTGGCCATGTCTGAGGGGCATTTTTTTGATGAGTGATGTGGGAGGGCCCAGCCCACTGTGGGTGGTGCCACCCCTGGGCAGGTGGGCCTGTGCTGCGTAAGAAAGCAGGTTGAGCAGGAGCCAGGGGAGCAAGCCAGTAAGCAGCATTCCTCCATGGCCTGTGCTCCAGCTCCTGCCTCCAAGTTCCTGCCCTGAGTTCCTACCTTGGGCTCCTGGATGAACTGTGACCCGGGAGAAGTAAGATAAACCCTTTCCTCCCCGAGTTGGTAGTGGTCAGAGTGTTTTGTCACAGCAATGAAGAACAAACTAGGACAGGCCTGTACCCAGGCTAGGAGGAGAGACATGGCAGGGGAGCTGGGAGGGTGAAAGAGGCTGGGGGGAGTCAAGGTATGGTGGATGCAGACTTACCCAGGGAAGGTGCTGGGACCAGGACACTGAAGGCTGTGTGCCCAGGGAAGTAAACGGAGGTGAGGCTGGGACCAGGCCCAGAGGGTTCCTGGAGGCCGCAGGGAGGAACTGGGTTGGTCAGGATGCAAAGGATCAGGAAGCAGTGGTGGCTCTGGGCAGAGAAGTTAGCCCTGGTGTCTGGGGTGCCAAGGCAAGAAATGGGCCTGTACCCAGGCTAGGAGGAGAAATATGGTGGAGGAGCTGGGAGGGTGAAAGGCTGGGGCAGTCAAGGAGCCATGGGCTTGCTGGACTTACCCTGGGAAGGTGCTGGGACCAGGACACTCTACCTACCCACTCTTAACTAAAAGCCAGGCATGGTGGCAAATGCTTTTACTCCCAGCACACCAGAGGGAGAGGCAAGCAGATCTCTGTGAGTTCAAGGGCAGTTTGGTCTACATGGCAAATCTGGGTGAGCTGTGACTACAGGGAGACCCTGTCTCAAAAAGAGTAAAAAAAAAACTAAAATAAATCTTACCATTAACTACAATTTTAGTGGTATGCCAGCAGAATATCGTAAACTCAGTATATCATAAAATCACTTAAGAATCATGTGTTTAACAAAGAAACAGAAAAGGGATGGAGATGTTAGCTAGCTCAGTGGTAGTATGCAGGAGACCCTGGTTCAGATACCTGAATTTGACCATACCCATGCTGGTGGGATATACCTTATTCTCAAGAGATGTTAATGAGGATATGCAGAGATGAGAGCCAGGTTCAATGAAGGTGAAGGCGTGAGTTGATATAATCAGTGGAAGAGTATGGCAGTTCCTCAGGTAAAACAGAATTACTGTGTGATCCAGCAACTTGAGAGTATACAAAAGAATTGAGAAAGAAGCCTGGGAATGGGCACGAAGTACTAGCTTCAGGTGCTGAGGGGGAGAGGAACACGAGCCCAGTTGGAAACCAGCAAGCCTCAGTCTCAAGATTTAGAATCTTGAAGAGATACTAATATACTTTGTTTGCAGCCACGCTGTTCACTATAGCCAAAATATTAAAGCAAATAAGCAAAATATGATTCAGCCATGTAATGGAACCTTTGAGATTTTTATTGGCTTGGCAGAGGTATTCCAAATTACTCATTTAATAAAGATGATGTGGGATGTGGCACACACCTGTAATCCCAGCATGTAAGATGTGGAGGCAGGAGGATCAGGAGTTCAAAGCCTGTCTCAAAAAAGGAGTATGACCACCCCACCCCATGGCTCAGGAAGAGGGAGCAGAAAGATTGTAAGAGCCAGAGGTTGGACAGGACCAGAGTGAAACTGTCTTCTGGACACAACAGGACAGCTGCTGTGGTTACCTGTAGCACAAAACCAAGCTCGTCAACATTCTAGCTTAGAGGAAGAAGAGGCTTACAACCCTCATCCCTAATTGAGGAAGTACGGACAACTGATGGCTTCTGAGGGAGAGTCAGTTTTCTTTAAGGGTGTGGCACCTGGTAGGTTGATCACACTTCAGAGGAGAGCCCCACACTCATGAATATGTGACAACACAAATTGAACTAGAGGAGTTAGTAAGGAAACAAAAAGGGCACAAAGGTGGGAGGGTTTAGGGTGGAGGTGAATCTGAGGGGTAGGAGTGGATATTATCAAAATACATTGTGTGTATGAAATTCTCAATAAAAATATAGCAAATTCTTCCATGTGTTTTTATTTTAAATACAATCATGTAGCACATTACTATGGTTTCATCAACATTCGTCTATATATATATATTACAGTGGTCCTATAGGTTTTAATGGCATTGGTAATTCCTATCACCTAGTGGCACTGGCTGTTGCAGTGTCATACTGCAAAGCATTTCATATGTTCACAGTGATGCCAGTGTAAACGAACCTACAGCAGAAGTATAGCATGTACAATTAGGTTCTGTATGTAAGATGAAAATGATAACAATGGCCATGCTGGAGCTTTATGTACTTACACTATAGCCTTGGTCACCATTTTCTACTCCTAAAAAAGTTGAAAAGTATGCAATTTTATGCTAGCAGAAACCTCATGCATCTTGTTATCAAGTCTGCCCAAGCCCCCAGGATAAGGTCTGGCTATGTAGCTCAGGGTGATCTCAAACCCAAGATCCTCCTCTCTCAGCCTCTTGAGTGCTGGAGTCACAGGTATACCACCACAACCCAGCTTATCTACCCTCTTGATTGCCACTGGAGGCCACACCTAGTGACTGATCTATACCGCCTAGGCTTTTGTTCACATTGAAATCTAATGACTTCATACATCTTTTACTTGGATTTGGAGATCTCCATGCCCTGACTCTAAACAATTTATGATACTGTTTATCACTTACCCCTCTACCAGTGCCCACTCCTGAATCATGTTGAGATCCCGGAGATACACTGCCAAAGCCTATCACCCATCCTTAGACAGCCCATGGCATCTATCTGGAGTGCATTTAGTCGTGTTATTTTGCTAACAAATGCTTATAAATGAGTCTCCTTGCCCCTTGAAAGGGATCTCAACATTGAGCACACTTAAGTGCACAGCCAGTAATTTAATCTTGACATGGTTCACTTTTTTTTCTTTCTACAGCAGCTTCATCTCCTTAAACCAGATGCAGTAACAAGGACCCTGGTGACAGTGACGTCATAGTGGCATAATCTCCACAGTATCTTCAGGGGGGTTAATGAACTTACCTTTTCTCCTTACATTCTGGTGTTCATGTGTGAAAATGTACAAAAGCAGCTCTCATTGCTTAGAAGATCTTTTAATAAAATACAGTGTTGGCAAGGGTTGTAGCTCAGTTGGTTGAGTGCTTGCCTAGGGTACACAAGGCCCTGGGTTCAGTCCCCAGCATCACATAAACCACAGGGTGGCATATGCCTGTAACCCTGGCAATTCATTCAGGATATGGAGGCAGGAAGATCATAAGTTGAAGGTTATCTGAGGCTACATAGCAAGTTTGAGGCCAGCCTGGTCTACATGAGACCCTATCTAAAAGAGAGGAAGAAAAAGAAGAGATGGGAGGGGGGAGGATGGAGAAAGAGAGGGAAAATGAGAGAGAGAGAGAGAGAGAGAGAGAGGAAGAGGAAGAAGAGAAAAGAGGAAGGACAAAGTAGCATTGACCTCAAAGAGGAAGTCTACCTTGGAGTTTAAGCATATCTGCGACACAGCTTGATGGTGACAGTGACAGTGGGAGTAATCTTCTGATTGGCCATTTCTGAAAACCAAGACTGGGAACGGAAGCAAGTGTTTGGTCTTAGCTGCATCTTGTGACTGGAGTTTTTCTGGAAAGGTAAATTTCTTTACACACTTCTAATCTAGATTAAGTAATCAAATGAAAATTCCATTTGTTAGTGACTTCTGTTGTACTTTTATTTGCTGAGGGGTTATTTGAGTGGCTGTGTTGCTCTGACTTCCTGGCAGTGAGGAAGGTTCTCCAGTGACAGGTTACACAATATATGTAGCACTGGTTCTAGTTTGATTTTCTGCTTCTGTCAAATGTTTCTGATTGTTTTCTTATGGGATTTTTAAAACTTCAAATGTGTTATTGTGTATGTGTGTGTGTATACACACAGGGTGTGGGGGGGCACATATGCTATGGCGCTCATGTGAAGGTCAGAGGTCAGCTTTCTGGAGTTGGTTTTTTCCTTCCCACTTTACACAGGTTCCAGGATCTGAACTCAGTTGCCAGGCTTGGTGGCAATGGTAAGAAGCACTTTTACCTACTGAGCCATCTTGCCAGACCTCTTTTTGCATTGTTAAGACAGGTTCTTATTATGTATCCCTGGCTAGCCTGTGGAACTCTCGACAGCCCTTCTGCCTCCACCTCCCAAGCATTGGGGCTCCGTATGTGCACCACCACACCAGGCAGGAGTGCTGTTTTCAAAGAGTTTTCTTGATTTTCTTCACCAGGATTTGCAAGTAGCTGTTTCCCTGTGGCTTTATGTGATGGCTTAGTCTGTCAGAGCAGAGCAGCCTAGGTTTTTGTTTGTTTGTTTGTTTGTTTTTTTAATGTGATAACATTTCTTTGGGATGGCTGTACAATCAGAGCCATCTCTGCGAAGGTAGAAAGTCATTAGTGGCTCTGAGTGAAGGTTCCAGTGGAAATTCACACTCTAGGACAAATACAGTTCAACCTTTTTAAAGATAGTATAGTTTAGCTGGGCATGATGGCACACATCTTTAATCCCAGCACTTGGGAGGCAAATGCAGGCAGATCTCTGTGAGATGGAGCCCACTCTGGTCTACATAGTGAGTTCCAGATCAGCTGGGGCTACAGGGAGACCTTGTCTCCAAAAGAAATTATAGTTTATGGAACATATATATATATATAGTATATTATGTAATGCAACAAAATATGGTGTTATACTAGTACTTTATGAAGTTCTACAATGAACAACATTGACATAAATTTTAAAAGAAGCAAAGAGTGCTAGAAAAATCATTACCCATGCTGGTTCTGCTGTAGATTGCGGACTTCCTGTTCTCGTAGTTCAGATTTCTCACCAAATTTTCTTATCAGCACCTTTTTACCTGGCATTGAAGGATATGAAAATGTTTTGTAAATGGTGAGGTATGTTATAATGGGGCTGGTGCTGCTGTTATAATTGATATTTTTGACAGGAATCCAGCATTCCCCAGCCTATGAACTGGGAAATTCACCTGAAAGCTGAATGATTAAAATATGTGAACCATTTATGGCATTTGTTGTCTCAGTAAATTACCTTAAAATTCAGCAAAAATACCCCATTTTTTTAAATCATGGGTTTCCCAAATATGAAGTAAAATTATAGCTCAAAAAAAAAATCAAAAAACAACAAAGGAGCTAGAAAGCTTGCTCAGTGGTTAAGAGCACTGACTGCTCTTCTGGAGGACCCAGGTTCTGTTCCCAGCACCCACATGGCAGCTAGCAACTGTCCATAACTCCAGTCCCAGGGGATCCGACAGCCTCTTCTGACCTCCATGGGCATTGCGCAATACAAGCGCACTTACCTACATGTGGGCAATACACACATACACATAAAATAAAAATAATAAAAAATAATACTAAACTTCCAGAAACAAATACTACATTTTAAATAGCTATTTTCATATATTGCTGTAATTACTCTTTTAGTTATTGTAGTCTCTTAACTGTGCTGTTTTTTAACTTAATTACATTTATCGTGTGTGTGTGTGTGTGTGTGTGTGTGTGTGTGTGTGTGTGTGTGTGTTTCGTGCATGTGGAAGTCAGAGAACAACTTGTGGGAGTCAGTTCTCCTTCTGTCATGTGGGTCCCAGGGGTTGAACTTGGGTAGTCAGGCTGAGCAAGCAAGTGCAGATAAGCACATACAATCCAGAAAAAAAAAACAAAAACCATGCTTTATGCTGTGCAGGGTTCAGTACTGTCCTTGGTCTCAGGCAGAAAGGCCTGCCACTACTGAAACTGCTCTACGAGGGTTTTAGAGACACGCAGTGCTGAGCAAAAATGGGATTTAACCTTGTGTGGGAAGTCATATCTCCAGCAGCTTTAACCAAATCCACAGTGTGTGGCTGAAGGTAATCCACTAAACTACTAACAACATGTAGAGTGTAATGCTGCTTTTCCTGCCTTTAGATGTTCACTATTTTCTTGACCCAAAAATCCCACAAAACATCCAAATCAAGAGACTCCAATTTGCATTCATTTTAAGAACACCTAGAGACTGTTCAGTGACACGCATATCTGAACAGTCACCAATTATCTGAAAAATGTCAGAAGAAGCAGTGTGTGGGGGCTGGGGAGATGGCTCAGTGGTTAAGAGCACTTGCTGCTTTTGAAGAGGATCTGAGTTCAGTTCCCAGATCCTGTGCCAGCTATCAGACTGTATCTCCAGTTCTAGGGGATATGACGCAGTCTTCTGTCCTCCTTGGGCATTGCACGAACATAGTGCACTTACATACATGCAAGCAAAACATCCATATATATAATAAAAATAAATCAAAACAATTATTTTGAAAAGAAGTAATGTTTGTCATTCCAATGATACAATGGTAGAGTTGCTAGATGTGCCGTGGCCAAACAGTGGTGCTCAACACAGCCCAAAGAGTGCTGAATGTTTGCTGTATATGTTAGTAGTTTTCATATTTTTATTCGTATTTCTTTATTGTTATTTTTTGTGTGTTTGGAATAGGGTCTTCCTATAGCCCAGGTTGACATGGAACTTATTATGTAGCCAGGGCTGATCTTGAACTCCTGATTCTCCTGCCTCCGCCTCTCCAATGCTGGGAGTAGAGAAAGAGGCCACCATGCCCCGTTGCTGTACATCCCTAAAAACACAGACAGTAATGCTAAGCTGAAGAGTTTGGGTTTAGCCTCTCTGCTCACTGAACATGTTCAGGTAAACAAGGCACCCAAGATGCACTGCTTCACTTCCAGAGCTCATGGTGGGATTAGCCTGTTCCTGAACTGCCCTCCACAAAGAGACAGACAGCCCTCCTGAAGAGAAGCCAAACTGCCTAAGCCTCTTCAGAGGTTACACAGAAGGAAAGAATATTCCCAGAAGAAACTGAAGAAGCAAAAACTTACAGCATGGGAATAAAATCAACATAAATAAATAAACCAGGCGTGATGGGGAACACATGTACTCCCAGCACTCAGCAGGTAGAGAAAGGAGGATCCGAAGTTCAAGGTTCTACTCAGCTACATATGAATTTAAGCCCAGCATGAGCTATGTGAGTCCCTATCTAAAAAATTAGGTGGATTGGTGGATAGATAGATGACAGAAAATAGAGACGTTTAAATTGAATAAATAAAGTCATAGCCTAAAATGGACATTGGCATTGGCATAGTTGAAAAGACACTGTGTGACCAGAAGGGAAGTGATGGAGCTGAGAGGAAGGGCTTCCAAGACCAAGATCATCAGTTTACCTACAACTGCCAGAAAGGTGAGGTAGACGTAGGATGCCACTCAACATGAAAGCTCTCCATTCATCTTCTTTACTTACTTCAATTCAGTGCTCACCAAGCAAAATCATGGGGCATGGCGGTGCACACCTTCAATCCCAGCACTTGGGTGGCAGAGGCAGGTAGATCTCTGTGAGTTCTAGGCCAGCCTGGCCTGCATAGAGAGTTCCAGGCCAGCCAGAGCTACATAGTGAGACCCTGATTTTTGTTTTATTATTTTTTTAAAGCAAATTATGGTTTTAATGGACATTCTTTTTTAAAATAATTTTTTGTTATTTTTATTTTATGTGTATGTGTTATGCCTGCATGTAGGTAAGTGCATGTGTGTTGTACAATGTCCATGGAGGACAGAAGAGGCTGTTGGATCTCCTGGAGCTGGAGTTACAGACAGTTGTTAGCTGCCATGTGGGTGCTGGGATTCGAACCAGGTCTTCTGCAAGAACAGTCAATGTTCTTAACCACTGAGCCATCTCTCCAGCCCCTTAATGGACGTTCTTATATCACGATAGAATGCACTGGTCACATCAGCATGAGTTTATACACCACTCTGCTGTGAATTGAGTAGGGGCCCATCCTAAAGCAGTCAATTCTTGATCCCCTACTAAGGTAAAAAACAGGACTGGTGGCTAAGCCGCATTAACCACACAAGGTAAAGTCCATGGCCACTGACGATACACTTAAACACCTACAGCTTGGCTCTCACTTTATTATTCTTGTTACTGTCAGTGTTAGGGTTGGCCTTCACCCATCTCTCTTTGATAAGCTTTCTAATTTGTGTGTGTTTGTTGCTTTGTTTTTTGAGACAGTGTCTCACTCTGTAGCCCAGACTGGCCTAGTACTTGTAGTTATCCTCCTGCCTGTCTCTACCTTCCAAGTGCTAGGATTACAGATGTGTACTGCTGTGCCCAGTCTCTGCACCAAGCTTAAGAAGTACCTATTTTGTTCCCAGGAGAAGACAGCATGGGAGGAGTTCACCCCATGACTAAACCCAGCATTGGTGAGTCCAGGACAGAAATCATCACCTCCCTCAGTGCTAAATTACAGTGAACTGGCAGGAAGGACTGTGCGGAAGGACCCCAGGGGAATGGCATTGGCTAGAGAGATCCTGAACTGGAAGAATCTGATTTTACCGTATAGTCAGAAACCTAAGCCCCAAGAAACACAAAGAGGAATCACAAAGACCTACTTGGCCCTTCCTCCACACCTGCGCAGACCAGCTGGCAGTTTATGAAAATCTAGTTCATGTTTCTTCTTGTTCCCCTATCTGTGGGTTAGGCACTGGGGAAAGCACTGACTGGGGCCAAGCTCTGCAAGCAAACTTCTCCACACCTACCCCCCCAAAAGACTGTGGTTTTGCAGGTCAAACCATTGACTGACTAGCCTGGAAAGTCCTACTGAGGCCAGAGCACTACACCACACTAGGGTTTCCCACTAAATTCTCTGAGGGAGACAAAGGATGTTTTGCTTGTATAAGGGTCATGGGACTTGCGGTCTCTAGGCCCTTACTTTATTACTTTGTGTAGTCAACTGAAGTACGGCTCCACCTGTCATTTTAAAGGACTCAATGGGGGGGATGGAGCTCACTGGTAGAGCACTTGCCCAGCACCAACAAAAAGACCCACTGTTCTCTCCTTCTGCAGAGTTACAATCACTTTGCAAGTCCCACTGTGGATAGCAGAGGTTCCTAGGGGTCTTTTCCTGGAAATATGGCAGGTACACTGGTACCTCCCACACACACTGATCCCTCCCATGTTCTCTGTAGGTACCCTCTCGAAGGTCGCTCCGGTGACCACCTCTACTCCCTGTTTCTGCGATCCCTACAAGTAAAGAAACATGTTTTATCCAGGCCACGTGGCACTGGATTTTTGTGTTGACCAGTTTGTCTTGGGGCCTTGGAGAGGGAGGGGTGAAGGGGTGAAGGGACCCGAAACAGTGGAAGAACTGTTTGATCTTAGGAGTGTAGCTCTACTGCTTTGCTTTGTTTTGTTTGAGGCGTTGTGGACGGGGTGAGGGGTTTCTCACATTGTAGCCTAGGGTGGCCTTGAACTTTCAGTGACCTTCCTGCCTCAACTTCTTGTGGACTGGGATTATAAGCATTCTGAACTGGGTATTGTCCAAGCTGCAAGCTATCATCCCCTAGGCTTATACGGTGCAGTGGTATGGGAGAGCCCTTTTGTTGCAGTGTGGGAGACAGGCTAGGAGGGAGTCCACAGTTGCCATTAAGGTATCAAATGCCTCTGGAATCCCAAAGTCCCTTCCCAAGCAGAGGGTGGGAAGTCCACCTGCCAATGTGGTAGGAAAGTTAAGCTTGGCTATCGGGAAAGGTTTCAAGAGGCCTCGGCAGCAGTTCATCGCTCCCTTTCTTTGCTGAAAGACAGGAACATGTAATCTTGGCCTTTTTTGCTGGAGTTCTGCTGATGCTGCTGCTCACAGCCCTTATCCTTCTCACCGTAAAGAGCTACAGAAAATGTGAGTGGTCTCTGAGGAGTTAAATGAGCCTTCCCTCACCACCGCTGAGGACAGCTTGAGCCAGGAATGACCAGAGGTTGGGGGTGGGGGGTGAGGTAAAGACTACTTAGCCCACCCTCTCCTCAGATCAGACCTCAACGCCCTCCCCTGTTCTTTGCTGCTCTCCCTACGCCCCCAACACCTCGACCCCCCAGCCTTTTCCCAAGGTTGAAGGGAGAGGCTTCCCACTCTTCCTGGCCCCATGGTGAGAAGGACAACCTTCTTCTTCCTGGCACTCGTGTAGGTCACTCCAGTCCCCAGGCCTTGGATCCTAATTCAGAGCCTCCCACCAAGGTAAGATCATCCTGTTGTTTGGGGGAACATGGGAAATAAATTGTGAGTGTGGTGAAGGTGGCATATCAAATGATTGGGGCGGGGGGAATTGGTTTATTCAGTTTCCCTCTATCTCTGGAAATACTGGTGCTGCTTTCTGTACTCTGGGCCAGCAATTCTTTTAAGAGTTCTTATGATCTCGTTGGGTCCCCTCTAACCAAAGCATTTATGTCACTTTTAAAGAGACACTTTTTGCTCCAAACTGAATTCACACAATTTCTCCTCTTTCTCTTTCATAGCTCTCATCAATATCAAAGGAGTCACTTACCTATGCCAGCATGACTTTCAAACCCTCAGAAGGAAACAGCAGTGGCTTGACGAGAGACCACTCTGAAGGCTTGGACCCCATTGTCTACTCACAGATTAAAGTGGCAAACCCATGCCTGCCTCTCCAGTGAGGCTGAATCCAGATCCTTCCAGTTCAGCTCCATCTGCACATTATGACTTTGTTTTCTATGTTTGTTTGTTTTACAAATTTGGTCCCACAGCCTGTGTGCAACTGTAGTCAGATTTGTTTAAGAGTGATCTGGCAATGATGTCAACACTCTTAAAGACAAATGGTTAGTTGTTTTCCCCTCCAGAGAAAAGACTGCTGGTGCTCCCATTTCAACTGACAGTAGCAGGGCCTTGAGGGACTCTCTTAGACCTTTCCAAACTGTGTGACACAGCAATCAGAGCAAAGAAACCCACTGATAATCAGGGAGGAGCCAACCCTATGAACAACCTACCAAGACATTCAAATAAAAGCAAACTCTCCACAAATGAACTCGGTACTACGGTCTTGATGTATGATCACATTAAGGATCTTCAGGGGAACCCATTCCTAATGTGAATCCTGAATCCATAAAAAAATAAGAGGACTCAGCAGATAGAAACCAAGATATTTTTATTAAGAAGAGAGTTGCCAGGACTAGAGAGATGGCTCAGTGGTTAAGAGCACTGCCTGTTTGCAGAGGACCCAGGTTCAATTCCCAGCACCTATATGGCAGTTAACAACCTTCCACAACTCCAATCCCAGAGGATCTGGTGCCCTCTTCTGACCTCCACAGGCACTGCATGATACAGGTGCACTTACATGCAGGCAAGGCAATACACTCATACACATAAAATAAAAATAATAAAATAAGAAGATAGTCATGACATAGAAGACTATCGTTTAGAATATAGTTTAGCCCAAAGCAGGCTCCAGAACACTTAGTGAAGCCAGAGCAGGGTGTGCTGGTTAATTTTTATCAACTTGACACAAACTAGAGACAACTAGAAGAGGGGACCTCACTTGAAGAATTTCCTCCATCAGACTGGCCTGTTGACTATGTCTGTGAGGCATTTTCTTAGCTGGCAATTGATACAGGAGCACCCAGCTGTGGTGGTGCCATCCCTGAGCAGGTGAACCTGGGCTGTATAAGAAAGGTTGCTGAGCAAGCCAGGGAAAGCAAGTCAGTAAGCAGCCTTTCTCTGTGGTTTCTGCTTCAGGTCAGTTCTTAACTCGAGTTCCTGCCTTGACTACCCTCAATGATGAACTATAAGTATAAGATTAAAAAAAACAAAACAGCCAGGCGTGGTGGCGCACACCTTTAATCCCAGCACTCAGGAGGCAGAGGCAGGTGGATCTCTGTGAGTTCAAGGCCAGCCTGGTCTCCATAGTGAGTTCCAGGCCAGCTGGGGCTACTGGGAGACCCTGTCTCAAAAAAGACCCAAAAAAAAACCTCTTTCCTCCACAAGTTGGTTTTGATCAGTGTTTTATCACAGCAACAGACTAGCAAACTAGGACACAGGGCAAGCCCAAGTCCACTCCCCTCTACATCTATCTGATCCAGGGACTCAGCCTGCTCCTGAGGACTTGGGGGTTGTGTGCTTTCTGGAAGCTGCACCCCAGAGATTTAAAAAGGAGAAAAAGAGCAGAGTATATAACCCAGTTCCCACTCCCAGTCACAGGCCAGCCATGGAAGGATGTTACTATATTGGTGCTCTGTCTGCAGGGAAGGAGCAAGAGAGGGAGAAAAGCATTCACCATAAATCTCCTTCAACACCCAATAGGGCTGGAGGTTTCATTCACTGGCAGACCACTTGCATAAGGTGTGAGGCCCTCTGGGTTTGATCCCCAGGGCAACATATACACATATACAAAAAAGGAAAAAAATGCAATAGGTAATATTTTAAAACTCGAGGTAAGAAAACTAAAGTTCAAAGGCTTGAAGTAATTTGTTTGATGTTACCCAGCCAATGTAGCAAAACGAAATTTTAATCAGGTCCTCTGACTTCAGATTCTTCACATTTTGCCTCCACACCATGTTGCTTCATGGGACTTACAGAAACAAGGAAATAGAAAGCCAAAGTCACATGCTATGATGGAGAGGGAACATCCAGCAGCTTCCAGCAGTAGGAGTCAAGGGAGAAGCCAGTGGAAGGGGGTGTGATAAAGGAGTAGGCTTTCTACATTAAGGAATGGTTTAGGTGAAAGACCAGTTTCAAGAAATCATTTCAAGAAGAGGCCATAGCACAACAGGACATCTAGCCCTCCGAGGGCAGCAGAGCTCAGGGATGCTCTCTCCTGCAGCTGGACTCCAGGAGGAAGCACACAGGGAGGTCACTCAACTGTTGCCAAGCTCTGGGCTGCCAGCCAACTGTCCTGCCAACCATGACTCTGGAGAGGCCACCTCAGCTTCCCAACCCACAGCCAGTGTCTAATGAACATGTGGGCAGGAGCAGCAGCATGCATTTCCTATGGGATCTGCTTGACTGTGGCATATCAGAGCAACTGCTCTACCATCTGTCTTGACAATACATTCCTAAACAAGGTCTTATATTTTGTCCCCTATGAAAACCAGTTTCTACTCTGAAAACTGGTGTGCAATCGGTATTGCCAAAGGAAAAAAAATGAGTATTTAATAAACCATGTGAGGCTGTAGAGATGGCTCAGCCATTAAGAGCACTGGCTGTTCTTCAGCAAGCTATAGTCACATCTTCCCATGCTCATCAAAGAGTTGGCGGGCGGGGGGTGGAGAATAAGAGACAGCAGAGTGTGTGTCCTTGGATAAGACTCCTGTATTGAACCCCACCCACCCATGGCTCAGGGACCATTGTGGAAGAGGGGGCAGAAAGATTGTAAGAACCAGGGCTAGTTCATGAACACAGGGAAGCAGAGGCTTTCAGGCCACTAGAAGCTTGCACATGTGACCTTGTGGCAGTGGTGGTATCGAGCACAGGACCCATGCTGACTCAATTAAACAAGGGCCCAGAGAGGAGGAGAGAATTGGGTGGTGGACCAGCCCTAGACTGAGAACTATTAGAGACTGATTGCTATTGGGAGAGGGAAAGTATGCTTTACATATATGATCTCCAGATGGGCTGACTAGACTCTGGTGGACAAATTTACACCGAGGGACATCTGGATACAAATGCTTGACTGGATTGGACTTAACATGTATGGCAGAATACATGAAGTCTGGTGGGGAGGATGGGGAGCATATTTGGAGGAGGGGAGTCTAAATTTGATTAAGAACTAGTATATGAAATTACAAAAACTCATTTCAAATTTTTAAAGAAAAAGTAAAAGAGCACTGGCTGTTCTTGCAGAGGACCCCCAGCACCCACATGGTGGCTAACAACCATCTGTAACTCCAGTTCCAGGGGAATCCAATGCCCTCTTTTGACCTCCGAGGGCACTGCATGCATATGGTGCATTTATGTACATGCAAGCAAACACACACACATAAAATAAAAATAATAAATAAAATTTAAAAAAAATAATGGACCGAGGATTCAAACGATTCTTGCTAGTAAAGGAAGCAAAAGAATTTTTGAATTCTGGATGGAGGAATGAGAACCAACATGAAGGCTTCTCAGGGGAAGCAGCACTCCAGTCTACACTGCAATATGAAGATATCCGAAGATGTCTTCCCCTGTCATGGGAGAGCTATGTATGCCAGCTACCTTGTATAATGGGGTACCCTGAAAACAAATCTGTTTGCAGAATCAGTGTGCTAGTGACCCCTTGTGTAAATTCATGGCTACCACCAGAAGGGATTTGGGTGGAAAGAGAACATTTGTGATGTTTGAGACCTCAGAAAGGGAGCAGGCTGCCTGGAATCATGCATGTGTGATATCCCATGCCCTTTCCCTCATACTGCTAAAGGGCTTTAAAGTTCCCTCATTATATAGAGAGGTGTCAGGGCAGAGCTTGAAAGAATTGTGCTCATCAAAGACTTTGCAAGAGCCTGCATCTAATCCAGCAGGACGCATGCAAAGTCTTATCAACAGTCAATCTCCATCCAACTCTGCTCAATCCAGGGGCCATTTGAGGGGTTCTAAGACCTGAGGCTGGCCATGTCCCATTAGTAGTGACTATGACACAATATGCAACTGGGTTCTGGGGATATGAAGATGGCTCCATCAGTAAAGGGCTTGCCTGGAGAGCACAAGAACCTGGTTTGGGCTGGAGAGACGGCTCAGTGGTTAAGAACACTGGCTGTTTGTGCAGAAAACCCAGGTTCCAATTCCAGCTCCCACATGGAAGTTAACAACTGTCCATAACTCCAGTTGTGGAGGATCCGATGGCCTCTTCTGTCCTCTGCAGGCATTGCACGACATAGGTACACTTACATACATTCAGGCAACACATGCATACACATAAAATAAAAATAATAAAATATTTTTTAAGAAAGAAACTGTGTTCAACCCCTAGAGCCCATGTAAAAAAGTGGGTCACAATGGGGCATGCTTATAATCCCAGTGTTGAAAAGGTGAAGTGGAGACTGGCAGATAACTGGTCTCATTGGCCAGCTGGCCTAGATTAATCAGTGATTTCCAGGCCAGTGAGAGACTCTGCCTCAAAAAATAAGGTGGACAGCTCCCAAGGAACAGCATTGGAGGCTATCTTCTGGCCTCTACTTGCATGTGCACCCACCTCATTCCCATCCTCACCCCCACAGAACAGCAGGACTCTGAAGAGGGCAGGAGAGGCAGTAATGGGGAAGCCCTAGGAACATGCAGAAACAGCAGGAGGGACACCACTGGGGAGAGGGGTGCAGGATGCAGGAAGGAGCATAGAGCATTTGTGAGCCTGCACCAGTGACAACATAACCTCACTTGCTCCCATGGATGCCGATGTCTTGGTCTTGATTTGTGTTTCCTGATTTGAAAGCATGTGCCATTCATCACTGGAATGCTTATTAATCAGTGTCCTCTACTCACTCCGGTGACAGCTTCCCATAGAGGAGATGCTAAAGGGCCCACAGTATTTTCACCAAGAGAATCCGAGAACTGCTGACCCAGTCTGTCTCCTTCTTTTGAGTAAGACAACATTTAATACCAATTCAGAAATGAGTTGGATTATCATACACTTTAGGAACTTTTCAGGACATGCTTTTCCATTGACAGCCTAGAAGTGAGCCATACCCTGGCTCACCTGCCAGGAATTTATTGACTAATAAACAAAATAAAAGTCATTTCCCCCTTGACCTGGGTTCTGCACTTCTTCTTCACCTTGGCTAGGCTAACCAAATGCCTGAAAGCTAAGGTCTGGAGATGTTATTCGATAGCTGCCTTGCTCAGCATGGTCTATCATAGCTCTTCTGACTGCCAGTGTTGTTAACCGGCTGCAAATGACTACTAGCAGGGTCAGAGGGTCCATCAGAAATCCTGAAAGATCAGAATCAGTCCCAGAGATGTGGGCCAGTCATCATGTGATTCTGTTGTAGCACCATCACTTTATTTACGAACTAAGTAAAGCTTCAAGTGTATTTAGTTTGAACCATTTCTTTTGGAATTGGGACCTATGGAGAGCCTTCAAATTGCTACCTACTTTGTTAGGAAATAGAAGGAAAACTGAGTTGGTATAATGGTTTCATTGAGAATGTCCCCCATAGGCTCCAAGTATTTGAACATTCTGTCCCCAGTTGGTGGTGCTGTTTTGGGGGGTCTTAGAAGGTGTGGCCGTGCTGGAGGAAGGACATCACTGGGAGCAGACTTAGAGAGTTCTTAAACCTTGCCAGATCTCCAGCCCTCTCTGTTTTCTGTGCCTGCTTGAAGATGTGATAATCTGCTTTCTGCTCCTTCTCTAGCCACTCCTGCCACCATGCCTCCTGCCATGGCGGTTCTAATGCCCCTGGAACTGTAAGCTCAAATAAACTTTTTCTTTTATAAGTTCCCTTGGTCAGAGTGTTTTATCACAGCAACAGAAAAGTAACTAATACAGTTGAGTACTCTTGTCTCAGTGTTTCTGCCAGCAAAAAGCTACCAACTTGTCACTTTTCTGAACCTGTTTTCCTCTCCTTTCAGTTGAAGACTCTATTCCCATACTCCCCAGGAACTGTCTCAGGCAATCCTAAGAAGGGTGCTGCCTCCTCCACATCCCCACATCCACGGTTCCCAAAGTTTCTAGATGGCAAAAGGCCAGGGGTGCTGTGGGAGCTACTTCTAGACTTCCTGGGGACAACAAAGTTTGGGGGTAGGGTTAACATAGTATGTGCATGTGTGTGCATGTGCATGTGTGCCTCTGTGTGTGCCTGTGTGTGTGTAGGTATGCATCATACCATCATGCTGCAGCACACATGTGGAAGTCAGAGGACAACTTGTGGAAGTCAATTCTCTCTTTCCACCACATAGGCCCTGGACAAGCACCTTTACCTGCTGACACATCTCACTGGGCCCCAAATCATCAGTGTTTATTTTCAGGACCAGAATCTGAAGTCATCTCTGCAAGGCTTGTCAGTCAGCTGGTAGGAAATATCAGTACCCAGAGCCTACATCACCTCACCAAGTTTTGGTGATATGAAAGCATCTGAATTTCAGGGCCCAATGGCAAAGCTAGAAAGACATTAGTTAGGGCTGCTGTATTTTATTAAGCATGAGGGGATAGGCCATGGCTAAAGCAGCTTGCATGGCTCCCTACTAAAGAGATTACTGCTGGATCCCACTGCATCATCTTTCACAGCACCGTGTTTCCTTTTATTCTAGTTAACAAGTTCACGTTTGTGTTTATGTATAGTTAATTGTCTTCCTTAATCCCACTTCACCCTTTGGCTATTGTTTGTTTTTGAGACAAAGTCTCACTACATAGTCCAGGCTGGCTCAATAAGATTCTCCTGCCTCAGCCTCCAGCATGTGGAAATCACAGGCATGCGTCACCATGCTAGCTGTCTTCCTTTTGTCTTACATCATAAACTGCATGAAGACAGATGCCATCCGTATTGCTGGCTTTTGTAATCTCAGCTTCTAGCATGGTCCTAGTTTGCCAAAGGAAGGGTAGATAGGTGGGTAGATGGATGGATGGATGGAAAATCCTGAGGAGTATGGGAATGGGTATTCAATTTAGAGAGAAGAAAACAGGCTCAGCAAAGAGAAAAGTTGCCTAAGGTCATATCTTAAAGAATGGCAGTTTTTGAAAAAAAGACTATAATTGTGTCCTAGAAGGAACAGTCTTAGACAAACCCTGGAAAAGTATTGCTTTGTCCATACTCCCCAATCCTCACCTCCACAGTCCCCAGAGCTTCTGGATGGCAAAAAACCAGGAATGCTGTGGGAGCCCGCTCTAGCCGTGGAGCCAAAACCTCACAGTCCAGTCTGAGTCCTTGGAGCCTTAGCTTTGCATTTCAGCTCCTCCTGGTGCTGGCCCCTTGTGTGTCACTAACGGTCATTCATCCTTAGGATGCTACTGAGATTTTTTTGTCATTAGTGGAGCTCTTTCGTTTGTCTTTAGACTTCTCTGAAAGGTTGTTTTTTTTACGTTTACATACCCAGAGGACACTGGGATCTATTCTGTAGTTCTGTCTACAGTCTCTTTATTGCCTAAGATGTTTCTGTGGCTTCTGAACATAAAAAGACAAAAGCAAACAAAGTTGCCTTGGGCAAACAATGACATTCACGCTTGATGTTCTTTCTGTTCTGCAAGTGCTTCAGAATTTAGCAGAATTACCACGTGATGGCCTAGAGAACTTTCTAGATAGTAAGACCAACCTGTGTCTGATGCTGCCTTGCAGAGAAAGATGGACAATCACACAACCTTTTGTCTGTCTAAGAAAGGGAAGACCTAAAGATCAGGATCTGTGGAGGCACAGGACTTAGGATGGAAGAATCCAGGAGAGAACTTACCAAGGGTATGGAGACCACAGAAGGATCTTGACTGAGTTTGGGGCTTCTAGGGAGGCCTTTACCAAGGGAAAACAGACAAAAAGCTGAAGGGCTAAAGGGCTAAGGCCCCTGGGCCCACCCATCCCACACAGACCCTTTGTAAGTACTTTCTACACCTGCTAACCCAGGGGTCACAGAAGCTTCATCCTCTGACAGGAACCTTGGCCCTTATGTCCCTACAGGTAAACAGAATGGGCTGTTACCCAAACTTGTGTGCTGAGGAGGCAAGTGGCCCTGCGGATATGGAACCTGCAGTGTGAGTCTCTCTGACTTCCTTCCTTCCTATATGCACCCGCATTCACTTAAGAAGGCTATAGTGCTCCTCTGTCACCTCTCGTAATGCCTTTGTCACATGAGAGGATGTCCTAGCTACCAAACCCCAAGTGACTAGACAATAAGAGTTGCATTCACTCATGAGAGAGATTCTCTTTGACTTCTTTCACCTTCTAATTCCTGCCTGCCCCCCCCACGACACACACACACACACACACACACACACACACACACACAACACTTACCTCTTCTATTCCTTTGACTTCTCCTTCTCCTGGATAAATGGCTGACAATAAAGATGATCCCCAAACCAGTCATCAGTATGAAAATGATCAGGGTGGACATTCTAGAAGGAATCACATCAGATCTCAGGTCGCTTAGAGAGGAAACACCTTTTGGTTTTCTGCTCCTGATCTCCTTTTCTCAGATCTGTATACCACCTCTCCCATGCCAGCCCCAGTACCTCCTGACAAGAACATTCCTTTAGAGTGACCCTGTCCTCTGGACCACATTGCTTGGATCTGGTGGGTATCTGACCAAGCTTGACCAGGGAGCCCTTCCTCAGAAATTAGCTGGGGACCAAGTGTCTTTGGCCCCCAGTGTTTGGCCACCCTTTTGAATGGGGGAGAAATAAATTGAGGATTATAAATGGGTGCTACCTGCTGTGGCAAAAAGAAGAGAGGGAATAGAAAAAGAAAGGAAAACAGAAGAAGGAAGGAAGGAGGAAGGAAGGAAGGATAAATAAATAAATAAATAAATACAGGCTGGGGACACAGCTTAATTGGTAGAGTACTTGCCCAACATGCATGAAGCCCTGAAGTCAATCACCAACACACACAAACTGGGTGTGGTAGCCAGCACACACCTGTTATCCCGTTCCTTAAGAGGTGGAAACAAGAGGATCAGAAGGTCAGCCTCAGCCACACAGGGCCTTGGAGGCTGAGCTAGAGACCCTGTCTCAAAACAAAAAAAGAAATAGGAAAGAGTGGTGCAGAAAGAAAAGGAAGCAAGCACACATAAAAAGAGCAGATGAAGAAGGAGCTAGAGATGAGGATAAAGTGCTGATAAAAGTCTGCATCCATGGGGCTGGAGAGATGGTCAGCGGTTAAGAACACTGACTGTTCTTGCAGAAGACCGGGGTTTGAATCCCATGCACCCACATGGCATCTAACAGCTGTCCGTAACTCCAGTTCCAGGGGATCCGACAGCCTCTTCTATTTTCCATGGGCATTGCACGACATGGGTGCACTTACCTACATGCAGGCAATACATGCATACACATAAAATAAAAATATAAATAAATATTTATTTTTAAAGTCTGCATCTGAAGGGCAGCCCTGTCCCTGCATTTCATACATGTCTCTCTGATAATAATACCTCTTTTTATCAAAGTACCCAGAGGCTCTTTTTCTGCTGCTTTCAAACAAGAATATTCTTTTTTCAAAAAACCAGTTACACTGAGTATATTTAATTCAGGTAGAGAAACAATATGCAGCTGAAAAATGGGAGGTGCCAACCAATCCCAATCACTATATTGAGTCATTCCCTACCCCACCTCCCTGCCTTCCCTCTCCTCAGATCATGACTCACCTGGAGCCGGCTGCCTTTTGGACAGTTTTCGAAGCCCTGCAACTCCTGTTCTTGTTGCCTGAAGGGCCTGAATCAGAAAGCGTTGAGAATTAAGGCCATTCTTGGGCCCTTCTTTGGTTCCAGCTGCATCCCTGTCTTTCTCTCACTCTGGAGAGCAAGTATACACTTGGCTTTGGGGGTAAGGCAATGCACTGATGTATGAGGGCGCCTTGCACAGGGAAAAACTCAAGTAGGGGCTGAAATCTAGCCTATACTGTACTTGCTAAGCCATGTATATACCCTGACACTGGGGCCTTCTGCACTCAGAAGAAAGAACACCTTTTCCAGATTTGTACAAAGGTCCTGTTCAGACTAGAAGCAGTCTGTGATTAGAGTCCTAGGCTGAGGGTCACTCCCATAGGAAGGAATGAATGTCCAATGCATCAAATGGCCAGTCCCATCCTTAAGGAATGGGATCAATTGGGTCATAGTTGCTATATTATGCTTCTAATAGCGACTAAAATGTCATGCAGCAAGTCCCATATTGCCTCTTCCATGTTTCGTTAAAGGAGCAGATTTAGATAGGACTCATATCTTCCTGAGTCTAAAATTCAAAGCACGCTATAAAAAGCAGAAGCACACAAAGAGGAAACATGGTGGGTATAAACTCTGTCACACACTTAGTGAGATGCTTGTTGAGTCAGTTGCTGGTAGGTCACGTGTGAGCAAGACTCTTTCCAGCTAGGCAACTGGAGAGGAAGGGTGGGTGTGAGGTTTCCCACAAGCCCCTAATTCTTTCTGACTTGTTTTCCTACTGTCATTGTGCACCAGACAGTGACAGAAAAATCTACCACTTCTTTAAATGGAACAATGAGAAGCCACAGGAGAAAAACAGAACAATTAGTGTCTTCCATAAGTTCTCTGCCTGAAAGACAGTAGCTAGCTGGTGTCAAAGGAGTCTTCTAGCATTCAGAGAAGGAGCTTATGAGCATCTGGAGATTCCATTAGTTAGCTCCAGCTGAAAGTCCCAGTTATTTGGCTTGGACAGACTTTGTCCTGTGAGCTCCAGTTCTTCCCAGCAGCCTCCATCTAAGTAAAAATGGGTGCTGGCAAGTTTGACCACGATAATTGCTTCATGTCAATTATTAAATTCTTTAAGTTGTGGGTTTCTAGAAACCTGAGTCTCTTTTTACAACCTCAGTCACTTCTTAAGAAACCAGTCCCCAGGGTTCGAGACCTTCAAGGCTGAGATTTCATGACAACTTCAAAGTCTGACTGGCAAGGCAAAGATCTTAGACCTATGAGATCTATCTGCCTCTCCCAAGCTCTTTGAATCAGAATGCTATAGGGAAGAGGAGTTCTAAGAGTATTCTGGGGCTTGGGTACCTTCTTACCTACAAACTACTACGTAATCCCCAGCATAATCAAAGACTGTCCTTAGAGGGAAGGAGGAAGCAGGTTCCCTCAAAGAAGGTATGGGGAGCCTGAGTCGGTGGTCACTGCCTTCAGTAAGTTTTTTGCCACCCCCAATAACACCCACTACTGTGGTTACTCCTTGACAGCCTCTTTACCAGGTGAAAAATCATTGGCCAGGCCCTTTCTGTTGTCATCCACAATCAGCTGTGTAAAATCCATGTCATCCCTGGCAAAGTCCCGCTGGATACCACACCAGTACCAGCCTGCATCCTCCTTGACCAGGCAAGATATAGTGACAATGAGTTGATTTCCTGTGTCCTTCAGAACCACACGGTTGGTGCTGTTGGGGGTGAAGGAGATGATGTTGCATGAGTCTCGGAAATAGCCCCGGCACCAGTATTTGGTGTAGTCCTTGTAGTGAGCATCATAGTTACAGATGGCAGAAGCTGTGTCTAGCACAATGCCTGATTTCACCTTTTCATCCATGACCATGGCATCTGTGAATACAAACACACACACACACACACACACACACACACACACGTATTTATTCTTTGAAATACACTGAAACTCCTAAAGGATGATTAATTAGAGGCTAAGTTTTGCCCATGTGGAATTGGCAACCATTATGGGCTGAACTATGTCCTTCACATGTTGAAGGCCTAACCCCTGTACAAAGTGTGATTGTATTTGAACATAAGACCTTTAAAGAGGTAATCAAGTTCAAATTTGATCATTAGAGTAGTTCTTAATTCAATATAACTGGCATTCTTATTTTTTAAAAAGATGAAGACATGGGGCTGGAGAGATGGCTCAGTGTTTAAGAGCACTGACTGTTCTTGCAGGGTTCCCAGAACTTATATGATAGCTAACAACTGTCTGTAACTCCAGCTCCAGGGGAATCTGATGCCTTCTTCTGACCTCCATGGGCATTGCGTTTACATGAGTACTCTTATACACATAAAAAATAAAAATAATAAAACAAAAAAATATTTTTTTTAAAAAAAGATTAAGCATCACAGAGACCCAGATGAAGGTTTCTTCAGGTTTGGTGTCATTTTGAGGGCTTTTTGTCTTTTTGTCTTGCAAATGACTGCTTTCTTGTGTCATCACATGATCTATTTGCCTCTGCATCCTTTTTTATTATTTTTATTTTATGTGTACAAGTATATTGCCTTCATGTGTGTAAGTGCACCTGTGTCAGGCAAAGCCCATGGAGATCAGAAGAGCACATCAGATTCTCCTGGAGCTGGAGTTACAGACAGTTGTTAGCCACCATACACTTAGGTGTGAGTGTTTTGCCTGCATGTATGTAGGTGCACCCTGTCATGCAATGCCCATGGAGGTCAGAAGAGGGCATCAGATTCCTGGAACTGGATTACAGATTGTCATTAGTTTCCATGTGGGTGCTGGGAAATGAACCTGAATCCTCTGCAAGAGCAGCCAGTGCTCTTAACCACTGAGCCATCTCTCTATCTCCTGTGATACATAATCTTGATGGTCAAACTTGATTGGATTGAGAGATACCTAGATTAGTCAAGCACATCTCTGGGAGTGTCTATGTAGGTATTTCCAGAAAGGATTGACTAAGGGGGAAAGAGCTGCCCTTCTGAAAATGAGCAGCCCAGGGGAATAAAAGAAGATAAGGGAAAAGGCTATCCGTGCCAGCCCTCCCTCTCTCTGCTTCCTGGCTGCTATGGGGAAAGCAGCTTGTTTCCACTGTGCCCTTCTGCCATGATGTTTTGCCATGATGTTTTGTCAACCAACCATGGCTAAAACATATGAAACTGTGAGTCAAAATAAACCCCTTCTCAGCTAAGTTGTTTATTCAAATATTTTGTTGTGGAGATGAAAGCTGACTGACCCAGACTTCTGGCCTCCATTACTACAAGGAAACAAATTTCTGCTATTTAACTACTCAGGTTGTGGTATTTTGCTATGACAGTCCTAGAAAACTAATACAGGAGCCCTGGAGAAATCTTTTGCCTTAGCTTGAGGCTATGTGAAACTCTGCCCCTACCTCCCTACCCAACCTTCCCACCTCTACAAGGAAGTGAAAGGTCAGGAGGATTCTTCTGGTTGCAAAGGGCTGAAAACGAAGAGACTCTGGTTTTATTTTGGAGCTAAGAACGTACAAGGCACCTCTATCATGTCAGGATGTCAGGATATTGCATAATGAGGAAGAAATGTGTATAACATCCAGCTCGATCATGGCTAGAGAAATGTTTGACCAAGAAGGAGAGATGGAAAAACAGAGCCCATCCTTCTCATTTCTTGAAGTGTGTGCTGGGGACCACCAGATACTGCCTCCAATGTGCCTTGTGGGGGTAGCACAATCCTACAAAGCAGGTTGACAACCTAGGGGTCATTTTGTTCTCATCACAACCCTACAAGATTTTTTGGTCCTCCACGCTTAGGCATCGATGCTAACCCACACAGTGGGGCAGCAAGTCCAACAGCAGCACAAATGAGGCATGACACAGCTTGGGACAAGTCCAGTTTTCTGAGTCTCATCTTTGGTGGTCAGGCTTAGGCAGAAAAGAGATAGTTTTGTCTTTCTATATCTGCAAAAACATTCAAGAGAAGAAAAGGGAAGGGCAGGAGATTTGGGGGGAACTGAAAGAGAAAAGACAGAGCCCTTGCTTTAGCCAAGGGTTTCAAGTTCCTTCCTGCCCTCTTATCAGAGGTAAGAACCTAGGACCTATTCATAAGATACATTAACAAGACCTATTTCTACCTCCTTTTATTTTCCCATCCAACTGCTTAGGTGCTTTAAACTAGTATAATCAACAGGGACTCTAAGGAGAGGAAAAGCAAGGTGCCCTCAGAGATCGAAGCTTAGAGGTCATAGATGTTCCTTACCAGTGACTTACCTGAACAGAGAGCCAAGGTGAGCAGAATGAAGAACTCCATGTTTAGAAGGATGCGAACATTTGGCTGGAATGAGAAGAAAAATTGAGGGTCTCAGGAATCCTGGATCTGTTTACAGGAAACACGTGTGAAATTAAGGTGGTTTTATCTTCTGGAAAGGAAGACCCACAGTTATTCTTAGTCGTATTTGCCAGGATAGCCATCCAGATTGTGCCCTTCGTGAGGGGTGTCATTCACAGACATAAATTTATTTGTGCAGCAACTGTGAAAATCTGGCCTCCACAAGAGTTCAAAACAGCAGTGTAGAGTCCTCTACTTGACAAATCCACTTGGCACACGACACTTTCTAGAGACCCAGAAGACAGACTCATATCATCACTGGCACACATCCATGCGAGCAGCTGTACTCTGTCTTGCTGTGTATTACAAGAGGCCACTCCTTTTGTCCCTCCATCATTCTTAGAGGCCTAGTTCCTATTTAGAAGTAAGGAATCCCAACAAAGAAATCCCTGAGTCAAAACCCAGGGAGCATGGTCAGAAGGAGACTGTGCCAGTCAGTAGCACACATACCTGGAACTAGCATACTAGTTTGGGTGTCAGCATCCAGGACTGGGGTCTCCAGCTGTCTGGAAAGTTTTTCTGAGTAGGGAGGTCTGTCCATGCAGAAGCAACAGCAGTTTCTCCTCATTCCTAACAGATGCATGTGCTCTGACCACCACCTATGAAAGTTTGAATTCTTGGACTACCTTAAATTCTTGAATTTAAGCTGGGGCCCCTTATCACACTTCAGAGCACTTCCTACCAAGGGCCAGATTTGGCTGGCTTTTCTAGATTGTGCAACAACATCCTTTCTTGAGAAAAAGGATCCTTCCTCTAATTCACAGGAACTCCGCATATGCACCTGTACCAAGCTCTGTTCAAATGTTCTGAAGTCCATTCATGGGCTAAGAAGAGGAATGGAAAGGAGAATCTATACATTAAATGAGGCTGAGTGAGATATACAGGGAAACTGTAAGAAGCATATTTGAATCCTTATGGAAGCAAGCACTTCAGAACATTTGAACAGAGCCTAGATAGTTGATACTGTTAGGAAGAATTATTCTGTTTTAGGTGTGTTCATGGTGTTATCACAGCCAGCCCTTGAGATGGCTCCTAATGCACATGCTTTTACTTAGTCCCCTCTGAGGGTGAATCAGAGCGACTGATGTGATCAACAAAATTTGGCCGAAGTATGGTATGCAGCTTCTGTCCCAATCCCTTGAATTGCTCCCTTGGGAAAGTCAGCCACCATGTTGTGAAGACTCAAGCAGGCAATGGAGAGGTCCGTGTGGAAAAGTACCAACTTGCCAGCATCAAGTTGCCATGCACGCGAGAGTCACTTTGGTATGGATGGCTTTAAGCCTCTGACCCAGCAACCTCATGAGAGATCCTGAGCATGACTCACGCAAGCAAGATACCCCTGAATTCCTAACCTAGGGAAACCACAAGGGGTGTCTCGCTGCCTGTGTTAAGTCTGTCTGCTTTTCTTTTCTTTTTTTTTTTAAATTATTTATTTAATAACCACATACTTAGAAGAAGCATTTCATTACAACAGCATTGACATATTCAATAACAATTTCCAGAGCTAAGATGCATCTCTATCAAAATTGGCTGTAAATTTTTAGGTTTACAGTTGAATTAATACAGTTATACAATATTG